TAAGCCCAATGTGCAGGCCTGGAGACACGAGAAAATTATACCAATTTAACTGTGTGAATCTCAAGCACTAGCTACAATAGCTCTGCTGGCCACCCTCATATCAGGCTTTCGAGGACTGATTATCTTCAGAAGTGCCACAGGGAAGAAAACGCAACTCACTGAGCACTGCTGCCATGCAGTCTGCAGGTGGACTCTTCATGCTACAAGCAATAAAAGATAAAATAAAAATACAAGTTTAATTGCTTTTAAAAAAAAGCAGCAATGAAGAAAAGTTGGTCAATGCAGAGAAACATCCCATTGCCAAAACATGCAGGATTATCTTGCTAATATAAAGACCAGTTATTTCTAGCCCATGTTATCAAATGACTGTCAGGAAAGGTGCAGCCTGTTTATACCAGATTTAATCTTCTTGGGGTGTTTTTACTGAAAGTGTTAGTGGCTCAAATGAGAGTTAGCAGCTGATTCTGTTGGCCTTGATCTAGCTTCACGTTTTGTGGAGAATATGATGTTCTGTGATCACAAAAGTCAGTGTGCGCTGTGAGCCAGAGCCACTGCACCCAGCAAAGCCAATTTAAGGCAACTACTCTTCTGTCTAAAAGATTTTTATCCTAATTTAGATTTAAATTCCAAGGAGATGGAGTTGTCGCTAAAAGGGTTTTATGACATTTGCAGAAATGGAAATATTTCCATTTTGTGACAATTAACCATTGTTTATATCTGAGTTTTGGATACCAAACCCTCCAAGGAGCTCTGGGGGATCCCAGGTTGTCTGGAGGAGCCAGCGTCCGTTGCCTGATGAGCGCTGCAGTCCCTAGGATCTGCTCATCATCTCCTGGAGAGGCTCCCAGCCTTAAGAAGAGTGTTCAAACTTGTACAAACTCAGCGGTTTGGTAAAGTCGCTGCTCCACTGGAGCTGAGTTCATAACGAAGCACAAAAACAGGCAGAGCCTGAGCAGTTTTTTTCCTCTTCCAGCCCACATTCACTGCAACGTTCATAAACCTTCTGAAAGGATAAGCTCAGTGTGACTACGAGATGATGCCTTCATACTTGGGTTAGGGCAAATTCAGGCTTACAGTACAAACCAGGACAAACTCTGAACTTTCCGGAAAGAAAGAAGAGATCTGTATAAGTAAATAGCTGGGGAGCGTAACCTGAAAAACCCTGACCCTGTTCAAATGCCTGTGATCTCTCCTTCTTGGCTTTCCAGGCTGTTTCACAAAGCGTAGCTTCTTCTAACTCAAACTTACTTAAAGAAGTCTTGTTCTACACTAAGAGATCACAGAAATATGGCTGGCAGGGACTTGGGGAAGTCACTTCACCACATATCTCATTTCTAATGGATTGGTTATCTGCCTTTGTATCCCCTTTGTGCCCCTTGCTGTGCTGTTCCAGACAGAATAAACCTTGCAATAATGAACCATCATCAAAGTGGCAATTGCTTCCTTCCCGGCTTGGGCTAGCAGAGAAAGAGAAAGCAAATGATGATTAGTTGTATGTCTGCACTCAAAGGTAAAAACCCCCGAGCTGAAGCCATCTGCCGAGGCATAAAATAATAATTCTGGTGCTGGCCTTGTCCAAGTACAGTGCCATCAGCTCTCACCAAAACGTAACGTAACACAGGAAAATGAGGAGCTCTAGCAGGTGGCCCATAACCCGGTAATAAACTCCCTGGCGTTATCGATTTTTTCCCTCCAAACTGAGCCCTTTTGTCTAACTACATTAACTTCTGCTTATGGAGCATCTGTGCGCGAGGCAGAATGCGCAGAAAAGCATCTCGTTTCAGTGAACAACCACAGCTCTAAATATGCCCCCCGGTTCCCCTTGCCTGTCTTTTCATGTCGTTATCTGCTCAGATGGGTTACTGCAAAAGACAGAAATGGCTCTTGTAAGTTAGTGGGGCTGGAAAAAAACTTAATAAGGAATCTGAAACGTGCTTCCAGCACTAATGATGCATGCAGAGAGTCCCCAACACAGAGCCTGGGAACACAGTTACCATTGCTGCATGCAGCCCAAAGCTGCCCCATTCACCTGGGTGCATTGCAAAGCTCTGGGTCTCGCAGATGCTTCGTCTTCGCTTTGAGGAGCCCAGAGGCCTTCATGGGTTTGGAGGCAACATCACTGCTTGAGGCAAGTTGAAGGCAGCTGCACTCCAGAAAGGACCTGGCACCGATGCTCCCTCCAAAATGCCTGGCTAGCAGCTTTAAATGCGATGAGCTCTGTGTGCAAAATGGAACATAGTTAGATTTGCAAAGAGGAAGAGTATTTGAGAATCCTCTTCTGTTCGGATGTCGCATTTCCAGCCGGTCAGCGACACGGCACCACCAAAGGGCCATGGGAGGTCCCGCACGGAAAGTCGGAAGGGCAGGCGAGGGACGGCCTGGCATGCAGGGAGATGCTCTGGCCTTTCATGGTGCCCCAACCACGCACTCATGCCCTCGTTTTTAACCACGAGCTGTACAGCAGTCGCACCAAGCAGACGCGGGGAGGCCACCCCAGCCCCAAGCCCTGCCATTACAGTGCTCGGTATCACGATCGCATCCCGGGAGCCACCAGCTGCCGCAGGAGTGGCCACCGCGCCACAAGAGGGGCTGTTCTGTGCCTGTTTT